GTGGAAAGATTCATGTACGAAGAAATTATGAACATGTCAGGGTAGTCCAAGATGGAGAAGAAACTCAAATTATTGTACATAGTGAAGAGTCGTTTTCAGTGGATGCACTTACTGAAATGTTCAGTCAAATGAGGCCAAACATAGTGGCCCTAGAAGAGCCAGTAATTGGCAAAAAGGTAAATAAGGAATTTTAGATGAGTTGTTAGCAACAAGGGCGAATGACCGACATTCTAGCATTCAAAGCCAAGTTAATGGCTTTCAATAAAGAATGTAAGGACAAGACGAAAGAAGAAGAAGTATTAAAAGCATTGGGAAATAAATTAGCAGCGTTCGAGGTGGAGGAGAATATTGGTCAAGAAGTTAACAAGGTGGATTGCTTAGAAGGGAAAGTGCTTACGATGAACTTGGACAATGAAATAATGAAGATCACAAAACCTGGACACACTCAAGCACATGACCCTTTGAGTAGGGTAAATATTGGTGACGAAGGAGAAGATCGCCCAACATTTGTCAGCCAAACGCTTAGTCAGGAGATTAGTAGTAAATTAATCGCGTTGGTAAAAGAATATAAAGATTGTTTTGTTGGGGAATATGAATATATGTTTGGTTTAGATAGAAATTTGGTAGAACATAGATTACCAACTAACCCAAATTTTAAGCTACACAAGGAACCTCATAGGCGTTTTGCCCCTAATGTACTTCCTAAAATTAAGAAAAAATAGAGCGATTGTTAAAAGCAGTTTTTATTAAAACGGTCGATATGTCGAGTGGTTGTCTAATATCGTGCCAGTATTAAAAAAGAATAGTAAGTTAAATGGGTGCATAGATTTTAGAAACTTAAACATAACGATGCCCAAAGACGAATATCCAATACCTACGGTAGATTCTTTGGTAGATTCGACCGCCAGACATGTGATGTATTCTTTTATAGATGATATTCAGGATACAACCAAAACTACACATCTGAAGAAGACATACACAAAACTGCCTTTAAATGTCCTGGAGCTTTATGATGTTTTGAATGGGTAGTTATGCAGTCGGCCTGAAGAATGCGGGGGCAACTTATCAAAAGCAATGAACTTGATTTTTCATGATATGATAGGCAAGTTTGTTGAAGTGTATATAGATGATA